AATAGTAAAAGGCAGTATTTAATTTGTAAACAAGTTTTTCTCAAACAATGTTTAAATCATTTGTCCTCCACAAAGGATTATTAAAACGATGGTTGAATATATTATTAAATTGGATTATTATAATTACGTAACCGCTTCCTAATAATACGATTAAATGTTGCTGTTGTTGTAGCACCTACTAACCTAAAGCCACGTAACACTCGACTTACGCATTTGAGACGTCAGCGGCCGCTACGCACTTGAGCCACTTCGCCTCGGTTAGCAATTTTATTCACAGCAAAAGAAGAATGGAACAGCACATTTACATCACCATATATCATACAACACCTCCATTAACGTTTCGAGCTGTGTACTCGTAATTCGATTTACCAATGACTTCAGCCATAAGGGAATATTATAATGAAATATATTTTAATTATATTTGACAATTAATTTGAAATTCAAATAATGTCGACAGCTTTAACAATTGGCGCCACGCAAACAAAGATATCCTGCCAATTCGTTATCGTAATAATACATACGGTCACTTACGGTACTCGTATATGCCTTTCCGTGTAAGTGAAGTCATTTGACGCTCTGTCTCCTGATGAGGTGAAGTAATTGGACCATTTGTATATCAATCACAAAATGATTTAAGAGATGTTCCTGAAGGACAAAGTGTTTTTAAGGGCGTATTTTAAGCAACTAAAGGCGGTTTGTGGAGTCTTAGAGGCACCTTCGAAGAAGGGAAGATCCCGGCCAGGATGATCAATGACTCATTGGATTCCCCGCTTGACAAGACTCAATCGGCTTGGCTTTAGTACTGTAGCCGAGGTCCCTCGAAACAGCGGTCTCCAAACTACGCCCAGGTGGCCACACATCGGCCCTCGGCATATTCATATGCGGATCCCGTCAACTAGAAGTATATTTACTATCAATATCGTGACACAGGCTTATGGAAAAATGGCGTTTCGATTTCAAATTATTCTGGTTATATAAAATGAAGACTTAATCAAAAAAGTACAGGAGAAAATAATTAACCCTTATAGGACCGGTACTTCTTCGTATCAAGGATCAATTGCATTTCACAAGAATTATTATTCTAGTAAATGAAATTGCTACAGAGTCGTTTTCTCACTACACTACATATAGGTTACTTAAGTGCTGAAAATGGTTCTTAGTCCCCATTCCTACTTTTGTTGAAATTCTTTTAAAATTGCAGTTCAAAATACATTCACTGACTTGATGTTAACTCCAGAGAGAATAGTTTTTTCAAAATCCGTTTTTATGCGTATTTTCTAGAGAAAGTCCAGTTAACTATACAAAAATTAGAAATAATTGACCTCAAACTGAATGATGAAATGCAGGATAAACTTCCAGAAAGAGATTTGGTTGAAAAAATCTACAAACAATTTAAAGGACCTTTAGCCACTTTTGTATATTCTTAAAAACTTCGCTAACCGGCCCCCAGTAGAAGTAAGATTGATCATCCCTGTTCTAGAACATTCTGGAAGAATTCAAATAAAAGTGTGTTTTTTGATGGTGCCAGTGCATACAAATTCGTTTGTAATTAATTTATGGAATTCAGTGAACTGCGTACTGACTTTTTGGAGTTACACGAATCGTTTACGACTTGATACAGTAGTTTGATGATAATTGAACCTAATTTTTGTAATGAATCTAAAAACACTTGCCAACTGATACTCTGTCATTTAACTTTCCTATTGCCCTAACAAGCAAGCTAACTGTATTATATTTATAACTTCATTATATTATGATTTTGGTGTTGCAGCAAATAAATCATTTTAAAATAAAATTCAGTTACGCCACGATATTCCAGTGTATCAATAAGTGTGATAATGTAAAATAATGAGTTTTCTGTCTATTTAAATGATATTGGTCAGTTCAAAATAATTGTTTAAATATAAAATGAATTGAGTTACATATCAATTTAACAACATTTTATCTCTCATAGTTTTTAAAGTTGCTGAAACATAAAATGAACTTCATCACGAGAAATTTCCACATAACCTCAAAACATTTTAAAACCTGTATCTGCTTGAAGAGAAGGCTTGTGATTCAGCGCCAATGATATAGGGCAATCTGCCTATACAACATGATTAGTGTTGTTCTATCAGGGGCCAATCCTATCTTCTCTATCAATATAATTGATCTGAATTAAAAAATATGAAGTGATGAAGTTGAAATAGACTTCAGATTCGGTTTTCTGCGACCCCGAAAACATAAGTAACTGGTCTGATCACACGTTAGAAACATCTTTCAATTTTTTATTTATGCACCAAAAACTCTGATGTTGGTGGAGTAAAATGGACACGGAATTTGTTTTTACCGACACCCAAAATAGATAAACATGGTCTGATGCCTCAGACGCGAACACAACGTTTTTTCGATGGCTGTGTTATCCTTTGCTGACATTTATTTTTTTAATTTATTTTTCTGCCTGTTCGGCATAAATATGCCTTTCAGGGTTTTAATTTACAATTTATTATTACACATAATTTGTTGGCCTTTCGGCTGACAGTATTTGAGGAGGACCACACGGCTACCTCGTAAACAAAGTCTGCAGAGCAGTAATTCAAAATAAATTTATTTAATTTTTTTAAATTAATGCATTTTCATTTGATTTTTTTCCAGCAGCGGAAATTGATTAATGGGTGCGTGACAATTTTAATGCAGACAGTTATTCTACTTTGTGGAATCAACATTTTTTTCAGAACTTGAAAAAAGACGAAAAACATATTGTCAAATAACTAACTTTAAATGTAATCGGGATAACTTTTAATACTAAATATGAATCCGAAGCTCATGTTGTTATTGAATAATAAACCATTCAATTTTATCAACAAGCCTATGATTGAACATTATGAAGGAAGGCGAATATATCTCTTGTACATGGTCAAAAGGGCTTGACGCCGCACCTCAAGATACAGTACAAACATGAGCTAATTATTTCCGACTTAGCTTGGACTCGACATCAATCCTGTAATGAATTAAATTAGGAAGTGTAACCAGAAAAACGAACACGTTTTAAACAATGATATAAAATGTGAAAAGTATTCAGCTCAATTTATGAACTATCTCTACTGAATATTTATAAAAAAAATATTTCGCATAAGCTCTTCATGACACATTTCGAGAGAGCAAATCCGTGTTATATAAATCGGAAGTAGGAAGGCAGTAGAATTTTCAACGCGATTACCATCCACAGCTCCGCAATGTGCATAAGTAACGGGTTTCGCAAGTCACTGAAAGTCGGCGCGGACGCGACCTTCGCAGAAATGCAGTTTATTGACGAGCAGCCCGGCCGTCGCGTCGTGGGCGACGCACCGCCAGCCTGCCTGCCTGCCACGCCGCCCACCACGCCCGCTCCGGACCCCCAGCCCGCCCCACCCCGCCCCTCCCCGCTCCGCCCGCCCCGCCCCGCCCCGCCGCCCGCCCGCAACGCGCACGCAACGCCCGCCGCAACGCCCGCCCCGCAACGCCGCCCCGCAACGCCCCGCCCGCAACGCCCGCCCCGCAACGCCCCGCCCGCCCCCTGCCCCGCCCACTCCGCTTCGCCCCGCTCCGCTCCGTCCCGCCCACTCCGTTCGCTTCGCCCCCGCCCCGCCCCGCCCCGCCCCGCCCCGCCCACTCCGCCCCGGCCGTCACAGGCGGAGTGCGATCCGCTCGAGGGCTCAATTTGCACAATCCGCGCTCCGAGACGCCTCGTCCGTCAGCTGCGGAATATTCGCCGGACCAAGATAGGGACAAGCTGCCACAGCGGATTGATGTGAATAATGAAGAACACGCTATTATGTATCTGATAATATTTTATCCGGTAAAATAAAACCTCACAATGAAACTGGTGGTGTTTAATACATTAATGTGAATAATTACATGATTACGCAGACATAGTACGAACATCAACATTTTTCTATGTTCGATAAAAAATTAAAAAATTAAAACAAAAAAATACAATATTCACAAACAGGAAGTTGAGATATATTTTAAATATTTCATATTATGACATTTCGGCATATTTTGAAGCCCTCATCGGATAGTAATAGCCTAACATATCTTACAAATGAAAAATATATACAAACATATAAAATATTTGCGAATTATATACTACTACAAAGTTTCAGCAAATTTCATTTGGAGCGGTTTTTTGACAAAATGTTTTCTAGATACTTTTGAAAAACTGTTACATCTGTTGACTCAAAATTACGCAATGTCTGTAATATTTTTTTTAAAAAATTGCATTAAATGATTTACAGATTTAAAACAGAACAGTAGATTGAGATGACAAATATTTATTGTGGTAGCAGCCAACTTATGAAAAAAATATGGTTTCAATCAAATCTCTCACGTATGTTCGTATTGTCGTCACGCGCTCCTGCACAAATGTCCTTCTGGATTCGGAATACGTTCCACAACACAACAATATTTCTCTTGTCTTTTAAAACTTCATTGATATTATTACAGTAAATTAATATTATGTCAGTGGATAACGAACTAAGCAGGCATTATGAGATGTCTGTGAATGTCAGGCATCTCATAATGTATGTCTGTGAGCGTCAGACGCTCAAAGGACAGAAAGGATATAGATATAGATCAACATGTGTGAGCATGAGAAGTGCTAAGATAATAATGCACGGAACAAGTTACCCTAAAAATTATATAGTTATATATTATACAATATAATTTTATAATTTTTCGCCCGAGAGATCCGAACGCTGTTCCGACACGTTCCGCCGGAAATCAAGGCTCTGCGTACAGGTCTGGTTTTTGTTGCGTATACCACGGAGATCGATGATATTCAGTCTGCGGAGGGATGAAAATTCCGTCAACTGTTTTCCGTCCAAAGCTGTGAAGCATCGGAAACGTGTCAGACTTTTATCAGACAAAATGAGAAAAACAAATATTCCACACGTATTAGAGCGGATGCGAGAAATATTAAATAAATTTGTTTTACAGTATTTAATTGAATGTTGACGCGTTCATTGATTGATTGCGTCTAGGAATTGGGTCTTTTATTTCTCACTGAAAAATGGGACATTTGTGCAATGAGGTTAATTACTACATCGACAAGTGAGTGTGAACCAGGACTGAGGACTGTGGTTGTGTTGCATCCAGATTGGCCTTTCATGTTAGTGGAAGTGAAAGTGTATGCAATTTAATACCACATTTTACCATTCAAATCAATTAATCAAACGACAGCTCAGTTCCAGACCGCCAGCCACAGCGTTTGGCTGTAAGTCCCAATAGAGAACACTGCTGCAACATAACTTGATAGACTTATTATTTCTTGTCTTGTTCTTCTTTACGTCACATAGAGCTTAACTGTTTTTTAAACGATGGATGAATGTGAATGGTGAATGAATGTGAATCAGTAAATAAATAAATAAATATGGTTGTCATTTATTTTCGGTTTTCTCAAACAGAGAACGGCTTGTTCTTGTG